GTGAATCCTCAGTTATACTGGAAGACTCAACCTTGTCTTTTCAATGAGAGCTAGAAGTAGACAGAAAACTGCCATTCATATAAAGTATCAGAACAGTAACACGTGTCTTCACTGGCTTAACTTAACTGACATTTATATAGCACTGAATCCATTAACGACAGAACAACTATTATTCTCAAAGACACAAAATCCATTAGCCAAGGTAGATCATATCTTATACATCCCAGCAATTTTTAAAGTTATAATACAAACTGTATTTTTTTTTTTTGTAACAGGGGGGTAAACTCAGATCAGATAATAAAAAAGACCCTCTAGATAATTGGTCATCAGTCTACTTATAAATAACCCATGAGTTATACAGGAAATCACAGGGAAACTTAAAAAAAAACTGAATGAGAATGCCACCATCACCTATGCAAATCTGTGGGGTAATGAGTTTAGAGGAAATTTTGCAGCATTGAGTTCTTATATTAGAAGAGAATGGAAAGGTCTTAAATTAGCAATTTCTGCTTCTATATTAAAAGTGTTAGGGGCAACTAGTTCAAATAAAATTGGTACACCTCCATCCAAACTAAATAAGTATAAAAAAGATACAAATTAATAATCTCAGAAATAAAAGTAAAGGTATATCACTATTACTAAAAGCATGATAAACTATTGTGAAAAAGAGTTTATGCGCGTAAGTGTAATGACTGAAATGAGTTAAGATAGTTTCTTGGAAAATATATTTTCATAAGCAGAGGGATGGAATGAGAAAAGTAACAGAAAATCTGAATAATAAATTGGTAACTGTTAGTATAACTGAGTTATTAGTTCAGTGCTTTCCAATAACAACAATAACAACAACAACAAAAAATCCAAGACCAGATGGCTTCTCTGGAAAAATTCTACTAAACATTTGAAACAGTTTGTATCATATTTTATTAAGTTAGTCTTACTCTGTTTCCAAAATCAGATTAAGATATTTCAAGAAATCTGTGGACATATATTCCTTAGAAGACATGCAGGCAAAACATTTTCAAATCTTCACAAATTGGATCCAGCAATAGATAAATAGGATGATGTTACATAGCAAACTAGAACTACGAGGCAGTGCAAAGCTGCTGCAACACTTAGTGAATGTGCTGATGAATTTACCACTAACTGTGAGAATCTGCATGTTTCCCCTGATAGGTGAAAAAACATATTTTAGTCAAAGTTTAACATCCGTTTATTAGTAAAACTCTCAAAAACTAGAAATAAAAAGTAAACTCTTTCATCCTGACAAAGGGCATCTTAAACTGAAGATAATGTGCAGTATGACAGACTACGTCAGATCCACAAACAAGGCAAGGATGCCTACTTTCTAGCTATTGCTAGACACTGCACTGAATGTACTAAAAAGATGATAAGGTACCAAAGGTTAAAGGTTAACACGTAAAGAGAGAAATAAAACTATCCTTATTGTAATAAAAATTATTGTGTACTTAGAAATAGCTCAATCTATTAAACTGTTATTAAGACTAGGTAATTTGTGTGGTACAGGTTGAGTACCTGAAAAATAATTATTTTTCCATGTGTTAGTGTTAAACAAATAACATTAAGTGTTTTAGAAGTACATTCACAATACTAATTTTAAAAAAATATGAAATGTTTAAGTATAAATCTGTAAAATATATTGTTTTTCAATGTGGAAACAAAAACCAAAACAAAACAAAAACAAAGAGGAAAATTTAAAAAAATGACTTAAATCATTGGATCTATATTCCACACTCCATGAAAGATTCAGTGTTTTTCAGGTATCTGTTCTTTCCCAAATTTGTTATGGATTAAATGCACTTCCAATATAAATTCCAGCAAGATTCTTGCTCCCCAACTGCTTATTAAATCTATGTGACAAGAGAGGTAATTTTAGTAAATACTAAGCACCCAACTTAAAACCTCTACTGAAGCTACAAAAAATCAAGAGTATGTAATACTAATAGAATGATGGATATCTACATTAGAGATATAGGTCAGAAAGACAATCTTTTCACAGACAATGGTGAAGCAACTAAGATTTCCAAAAATAGGAAAAAAAAAAAGAATCTTAAACACACACTTTAGTCAAAAACAGAATTGGCTCACGCTAGATTATAACTCGAAATATGAGAATAAACAAAGTAAAACATAAGAGAGATCCTTTATGACTTTGAATTAGGAAAAGGCATCCTAATATAATACCAAAAATACAATCCATGAAAGGACAACTGGGTAAGCTTAACTTTAACAAGTGTGTTTCTTTTTATTAAGACATTGGAAATATTAAAAGGAAAAAATTATGCAATAAGAACTTTTGCAAAGCATTTCTGATAAAAGATGTTATCCAGTCTAATTCGCTCCCAAAATTCAGTCATTAAAGATATCTAACAACAACAAAAAAACAGCAAGATAGTTCACTAAAGGAGATGAATAATGATCCAAGGCACCAGATAAGATGTTTAATATAATTTATTACTAAAGAAATCTAAATTTAAAAATGAAACTGCTAAAGCCAAAAGACATCAGAGATGTAGAGCAACAAAATCTCTTGATGGTCCTCTTAAGACTGCACAATGTCTTCATTGCTTTTTACACTCTTTTAGAAAGTTAGACATATTGTGACTGTGTAGCCTAGTTATTCCACTCCCACGTATTTATTCAAGTAAATAAATTCTGTTCACATGGAACTTAATATGTTAATATTTAAAGTGGCTTCGTTTGGAAATGCCAAAGACCATGAATGACCAAAATGTCCTTCAACAGGTAAATTTGTAAAGATAATATGTTACAGACACAGAATGCTGCTCAGCAATAAGAGAAGCAAACTGCTGACACATGTAGTGATGTGGGTGAGCTTTAGCAAACCACACTTCAGGAAGATGGCCCACATTGGTGGTTGGCACAGGCTGGAGATAGGAAGATATGTGACCACAGAGGAACTTGAGAGAACTCTGTGATTTCAGTCAAGTGTTGAGTGTTTTGATTTTGGTAGAGTTCTCACAACTGAATGTATTTTTTTTTTTTAATGCTTAGAACTATCCAGTAAAACTGATGATTTTTACTGTATGTAAGTTACACTTCCACAGCGTACTCTCTCTCTCTCACTCTCTCTCTCACACACACACACACACACACACACACAGAGCTGAGACAGAACAAATAAGGAGACACCCCTTGCCTTTCACTGTGCCGTACTGAAGGCACAGGAGCTGCTGCACTGAGAGGTGTCAAATTCTCTTCAGTTGTCCCATTTGCTGGTGACTTTCAGACTTAGCTCCATTTGAGAAAATTGGGACATTGTCATAATCAGGCTACAACACCTGCTACCAGTGAACTAATTTGATACAAAGAAACAGCGGTGTTTTTGTGCTGACATAGCTATTTGGCTGGCAGATTTACTAGAAACCTGTCGGATATTGTTACAGTAACTAGGTTTGACCTTCACATTACTTAATTCAGAAAAAGGTGATTTAAAGAGCAAATATAGGCAAGTGGTATTATATCAAACTAAAAAGTTGTGTACAGCAAAGAAAATAACAGGGTGAACTCAGTATACAAGAATGGGGAAAATGTGTGCCATACATACATGCATATACTTTAAACACAAACAAAACAAACAAAAACCTCAAAAAGGCAGTTAAAAATATACAAAGAACTTGAGTTAGGTATCTCTGTAAAGAAGATAACTATGAAAAGATACTAAATATAACTAATCTCATTAATCACCCAAGAAATGCCAATCAAACCATCATGAGATATATCACACCAATTTAGATGGCTATTAACAAAAGATAAGTGTAAGTGAGGAAGGACATGGAGAAACTGGAGTTTTCATACAGTTTGGGTGGGAATGTAAAATAGTATGGGTACCATGTTTGTTGCAGTTCTATTCATGGTAGCTAAGATTTCTAAAATGTAAATTTTCATTGACAGGCATGAATAAAAATATGTTACAGATAATGGGATATCATATAGTTTTCAAAACCATAAAATCCTGTGTTGGGGAACAACATGTATTATGCTAAGATAAATCAGTTCTAGAGCTCTGTTCTAGAATATAGTATGTACAGTTAGCAATGTGGCATTGTATGGTATGGTACTACTGTACAATTTAAAATTCTGGAGATAGGCAGATTTCCTACAAAATATTCTTAATAAACATGTACACAATAAATATGTACAGACACATACATAGGTAAAAATGTGTGGCTGTAATGTGAAGTTAGACACTAATAAAATTTTGCAGCTTCTACTTGGGTTATTTATACTTTTATGACTATAAACAAAAACAATATTTAAATTTAGAGTAAGTTGAAGAACTGAGATAAAAAGGCAATTCCTTGGGTGCATTCATGAATTAAAACAGAAGGGTTCATCAATTCAGATTCAGTTTGGAAAATACTTCGCTGTTTCAAATTTCCGTACCTTAAGAGTTGTGCATTTTGTGCTTTTCACACCTTGATTTTAATACTTCATGTTATAGATGGATTCTAAAACAGCTAATATTTTCTTCCAGTTTGATTACATATTCATTGTTTGTGCCTGCTTGTTGGAGGCTTATTTTGTTTTTTTTAAATTTACTCCAAGCACTTGGCTTCATAGGTTTCCTCAATTAAGTGATGGCTTTCTTGAGTTGAAGTCAAGGAGTGTGAGACTCATCAAATGCTTGCTGCTCTACTGAAAACAATCTATTTCTGAGAACCTATTTGTTGTAATCGATTATTTGTAAACTGCATTACCTTTGTTATTTATAATTTAGAAGGGGTGGATTTGTATAATGAAAAAAATCATAGAAGGATTTTCCAAAAGGATATAAAACACAATATTAAAAAGTCAGCTGGAGAGGTTTCAAAGAGAAAAAATTCACTAAAGATATGGAAAAAATTGTAAAGGATCAGAGAATTAGGAATGGCTTGCCTAAAATAAAAGTAATCCCAATGGAAAAAAAAATCTATATTCACTTGTTGGAGAATAAGTTCATTGGAGATTAGTGAGCCTACCTGAGCAGATGCTTTATTCTCAAACATTGTTTCGTGTTGATAGAGTTTGTCCATCCCGTGCTCCTTGACAGTGTGTTCACATTCGTCAGAGAAGAGGGCTGCATCCCCATCGAAGGCCACCCGGAGCTGTGTGTCACAGTAGGCCATGTCTTTGGCTCCATCGTACATGGTAGCAGAGGCAATACCTGAAAGACGAAGGAGACTGATGAATCTTTGACTTAGGGTCATGAAGTTTGCTTTCTCTCAGACCTGATGTTTTAACTCCCCTTCATAACCACACATCTTGGGGCAGTTGTCTATGCGCTACATCTAGTGGTCTCTACGTCCACAGACGCAGAGAACTGTAAATAAACCACAGGACAGTCACTGAAGATGCCTGCCTCCAGACAGGTCAGAGTTCTCAATGACAATTTAGATTGTCCATGTGGGAGCACCTTAGCAGGATCATCAACAAGGACAGTAGACTCACCTAGGACATCTGCCCTACAAATTACTATTAGTGCATACTTCTCTATTAAATAGAGGGACAAAATAAGACTAATACCTTCTTGTATTGCTTCATGTACTTTGTCAGAATCCGCAGATAGATACAAGTTGGTCAGATACGCCTTCAGATAACCAATGGGGCTCTTTCCACCAGTTAGACAGAAGCGATCAATAAGTAAGCCTAATAACATCCAAGAAAAGGTGTTACAGTCAAGACTAAACACTGGAAAGCCAAGTGAAATTTGCCTTAGAAATAAGTGAACTGTAATTTCAAGGCAAAGCTCTCTTAGAAATCTCCAAGACTTTGGAATTGCTTTGATAGTACCAATATTAAAAATATTTTCAGCTATTTAATGTAGCAGTGTGTGTGTTTGGTGCACTAACAGTTTATAGACCAACAAAGACCATGCCAATTTCCTCTCACAGCACTTGTATGGAAGACATTATTGCTTCAGAATTTATTTATTGACTAGAAAGAGAGAAAGAGACCCATATGTTTTTTTATCTGCCTGGAACAGCTGGATAAGACCATGACAAAAACCAAAAAGACAAAAATACTATTTGGGCCCTTTATCTGAGTGGCAAGGACCCAGGTTGTAGGCCCTCATCCACTGCCTTCATAGAGCAGCCAGGACTGACACTGGACCTCTGATATGGAATGTCTATTCCAAGTGGAAGCTTAACCTACTTTACCATCACATTGTTCCCTAAGGCAATCCTCACCACATAGAAAGAAATGGGGGCATAAAAATACATGCAGGCATGGTATGCACTTCTAAGTTTGATTCTTCTCGAGGCCAGAATAACAATGTTTTCCTTGAATTATATTCTCTAATTGAAAGATTTTGTTAAGGTGTCACTATAGGTTAAGTGTCTTCTACATTTCTTTCAATGACAGTGATGATTATAATCAGTTATACTAGAACTTAAATTATTTTTGTGAAAACAGCAAAACAACCAAAATTGTCATTCTATTCTGTCTTGAAATTTTAATGCAAGCATTTAGTAATAAATGTTTTTTAAATATGCACCAATTTTAAAAATACACATATTCTGGCTTTCAGTAAGAAAATATGTAAAATAAGTATTAATGTATGCTAAGAATGAAAGCATAAATTTAGATAAGTCTCTAGAAATTAACTGAAAGAATGTATCAAGAGCTTTGAGTTTATACTTTTTGACCCATATTTTTCTGTTTAAGATATTTGTTCTAAGGGAATATTCTGACTCTTGATTTATGTAGAGACAGTTCAGTGCGGAGATGTTGATTAAAGCAAAAAAACATTAACATGTGGTGATAGATATGTAAAATATAACATTCATGTAATAAAATACATAGTTATTAAAAGTTCTTTGCAGGTACAATATATAATAAAGTTGAGAGTTGCATCTGATACAAAGCTGAGTAACTTTAGTCAGTTGTTTGTCATCTGTAGAGTCCAACAGCCTGGGTGGGCTGCATCAGCAATTGGAATGCGATTTTCAAAATGCTTTCACTTTTGCACTTAAGCCGACATTGGACCTAAGTGGCACCGAAGTGGACGCTGTAAATGCTCAAAGATTTCATGACTCAGAAATGGTCTGGTGACACTCGGGCTTCAGAAATTATTTACATGCCACCGTTCACAGTTCACATTACAGCCAGACAAGGAGAACCACTGATTCTATTTATTTATTTATTGACTTATGTAGTTCATCTAATGATGACCACAGCAAAGAGAAATGCTCTCAGCACGGAGAGAAGGGAAGCAACAAACTTTTCCAGGTGCAAGCCTTTGCTTCCATAAACAAGACTTAACGAGAGGTTGAGCTTAATTATAATTTCACCAGCAGAATCACTGGTCAATAACTGATTCCTTGTGTGTCCAGCCTTGATGGACTTAATGTGGCAAGGAATGGATTGACCTAAATTGTCTACTAAAAAAACAATGAGAAGATAGGTCTCACAATGTCAGATTTCACTGCTTGACTGATTACTATTTGCCATTCATTTGAGCTCAACATAGTTGTTTTCTCTTTTCCGCTCATAATACTGTGAAGGAGGCATTATTAAAAATAACGTATATCTCAGTAAGACACTAGTCTTATGAATAGCATAATATACACTGAAACTATTTATATCTTGACTTCGAATACAGAAGCCCAATGTAGGCCTAGAATTTAAACAGGCCCGATTTAAACCCTTCTTTTTTTTTCACTTTACTTAGGGGACTGTGTGTATGACTTAGAAAAACAGATCAGAGGTGCCTCACTAAAGAAGTCGGGTAATTGTGTGATAGGGAGAGTGGGGACTTCTCTCCTTAAGTCCTGACACACTGGTGAAAAACTCTGGAGAAACAAGACCCAGTCCCATTTTCCATGTAAATAAGTCAAGACCATCTCGCTAGCATGAGCGTGCACTTGATGTGTGTGGGGGCAAGAGCAGCCTGGAAGAATCAGATTTTAAGAGAAAGAGAGGTGAAACCTTGAAACCTTAACACGGATCTGTGGTGAACGAGAAGCTTGATCACGCAGCGAAAGCCTTTAGCTTGACGGCTCCTTGAAGTCAAGTTCAGAAGTGAAAAACATAAAACAGAGAAATATATCGCAGGACCTGGGATTAAGACTTTGAAATTCACACTTGACAAGTTAAGTCCAGAGCTTTGAGCCCGACTCTGCGCTGAAGTTAAAAATGAACATGGCCTCTCCTGTTCTGACATAGGCAAATAAACATTCCTCACGCAGAAGGGGGTGTCCGTATCAAAGACACTGCAGAGGGTCAGCCACAGTTAGCAAAATAGCATGGCTTCACTCTCGCAGCGCTGCGAGCTGGTCTTCCACATGGTATTTATTTTACTTACCGTAGTGATTGACGCTGTTTATAAGCCGTACTCCCACTTGGGCATGGTTATTAGTCATCAGTACAATATCAAATAAGTCCTGTTCATCAGGATACAGATCACGGAGCCGCGAATTGACGTGTTGCAGTGCCTGAGGGTTGCAAACATGGGTGTGTGTGAAGAGGGGCAGGCTAGGTGGGCAGTGAGAGGCCGAGAAAGAGCAAATCATCAGGGGCAAACTCAAGCACTGAAGACACCTCACTGACAGATGATGGCTCCTTTAAGGCGGGCTCATGCCATTCATTTCTGTATTTTTAGCCTTGCATGCCTGGGACCTCAGTTAATACTGACTGCATGGAGAATGTTTGTTGAAAATTGTTACAACACTTGGTGTCCTAGAATTCTCTCTGGGAGAGAGGTAGAAAGATCAATCTTCTCTCCCTTTAATGCTTTGCTTATGTTTTGTTTTGTAAAATCTGCCTTCCTTGTTAATCTCATTAGCTTTTGTTCTGAAAACAAGGACTGTGGGGGCAGGTTTTGTTACACTGCAGAGTAAGCTGCTGCTGACAAGGCAGGCTTCCCCTATCTGAGCCCTGGTTGGAGTCTGGGTGCTCCACTTCTGATCTGGTTCAGGCTAACGTTCACCTGGGCAAATCAAGGATGACGGCCCAGGGACGTGTGCCCCTGGCACCGCATGGAAGACCCCAGTCAGGTTCCTAGCTCTTGACTTTAGTCTGGGCCAGCTCAGTCATTTGGGGAGTGAACCAGTGGATGGAAGGCCTTTCTTTGTCTCTACCTTTCTCTGTGTTACTGTGTCAACCAACTAAATCTTCATTTAAAAAAATATGGAATGCTTCAGGAAGTCACATACCACCCTTGCTTGGATGCCATGCCAATCATGCCTGTACTGTTCCCATGTGAGTGTATAGGGTACACAGAGGGCACACGTACTATTGCTCAAAGTGTTCCTTCAGAATTGTTTTTTTCTTCTTCCCATGTGTCCACTGATCCCCTAAGCATTTTGTGCCCACATGTTATGGAGCTGTCCTTTGCATGTGCATGGTGAAGGTATTCTTGTGTATTGTCTGTACAAGGTATGCAAGGAATTAGGGTTCACTGTATTACATTTCAGTGTTCATTCATGATCTAAAGTGCAGAAAGCATCTTGATGATCCTAAGGCGCTATGTCTTCGGCCAAATGGATCAAGTGAATTGCATCAAATGTCAACAAGGCGTTTTATTTCTACTCAAGACTGCAAAGTCCTTACATTAGCTGTTTCTTGGTGCCGTTGGGAGGAGGGGACACAGCAGCTCCTGCTAGAGCGAATGGCTGGCAGGCCAGCACCTGCATCCACAGCTGTGAGCCTTGGAGTCTCCTGCAGCCTAGATGCCCCCTGCGGAAGCCCAGCCGCACCTGGCTAACCCGGCCCACCAGAAAGGGCAGTGGTGTCAAGGGTGGCAAACGAACTGCCAGGTTGACTGGAGGGTTGTGGCAGCTTGCAGAGTCCCTACCTTGACAAAGCGAAAGGCGGGTCCGGGGGTCAAGATGACATTCTCGTTGGTGAGCTGGTACTCCATGTACTTTTCCAGGCCCTCCTCTTCGTAGATTTTCTGGTCGTCCGCCATGTTGAAGAGCGCCCGGGATGAGATAGCAATGGTGATGGCATTCTTGGGTTTGGGCTACAGAGAGAAGAAGGGACAGGCGGTCACACAGACAAGAAAGGAGCCAGGATGGGCTCAGCCTTGGTGACCAGGATAGAAAGCAGCCGTGCTAGGGACAATGGAGGACCCCTGGGTTTGGGGAGGAGGGTTGGGCCAGAGGCACTTACAGGCCTGGGACGTGAGCAGCTGGGCAGCTTCTCATACAGAGTCCTCACTGATGACCAGTAGGCTTCCTCATCGTCGTCCTCCTCTTCCTGCTGCTGCTGCTGCTGCAAAGGCTGCATTTCCGACCGGCAGTCGCTGTCCATCTGCAGGGAGGGCGGGTAGAGCACGCGGCGCTGGGAGTATGGCTTCCATTCACTGGGGGATGTGCGTGTGTACTCCCGTGACTGCGAGAGTGAGCGCGTGTCCCGCGGGTCCCGCCCATAGTCCCAGGACTGCGAATCCCTGGACTCGCGGGCCTCGCGCCCCATTCCTTGACTCCAGGTGTCTGCATTGTCATAGTTCTTGCTGGTGCGCCTGCTGCTGGCCTGAGTCTCAGGGGCTGTGGGCTGCCGCATGTCACGCGTGGTGGATGTACGTGGAGGCGTGTTGGGTTGCGGTCTTGGTGGCGATGCTTCGTGCTGGCTGGGGGAGGTGGATGAGGTCCGGGAGGTAGTGGAGCTGTTGGGGAGCTAGAGCAAGAAAGCAGGAGCTGAACTGGAGCCCTCCCACACGGGGGCTCCTGTCCCCATCTCTGTCCAGCCCAGGTGCACAAGCTGTTCCTACGCTGTTCCCCACTGGCTGATCCTCAGGGGGAGAGGCATGTTGGGTTCTAGGTAGTTCCTATTTCTATCAATCACAGGTTGTCTGCTTTTATTTCACTGACAGTTCTCCCATCAGCAGCTTACACATGAAGCTCCCATCAGCAGCTTCACCCTGAGAGCTGGGCATAGTTTAAAATATTCTGCTTTTTCTTGCCCCTGCCTGTCTGCCCTGGAACCTAGGGAGCCCAGAGGACCTGAGTCATAGACTTGCTTGCCCAGGGTCTCAGTGTGTTACTTCTCCATGGACTCCATGAACAACAGTCTCAGGTTCTCATCAGGACACTGCACAAACAAGGCCCACGTCCTCTCTCCCTGTGGCCATGGGGCTGATGCAGTGATGGCTACTGCAGAGGTCATGTTCCTGGTGGGAAGGGAGACCTTTCCAGAGGACACCGCTCTGCTTGGATGGACATGATGATGTTAAGCATCCATGTATTATTTCACTTATTCTGACTGTGTCAAATGGTACCCAGAGGGAGTTCTTGATAAGATTATTTAATGAGACCTGATACAAAAAAATGAATCTGATGGGAACATATGTCCTCTCCAGGGCTGGGTCTGTTTTGTTTCTCCTGCATGTAATACCTTAAATTTCAATATATATTTAGGATATATGTTTAACACGCTGGGTCTAGTTAAGCACCCCAGACACATTTAGTTTAATAATCTTAAGTTTGCTTTTTCTTGTCATGACCTTTTCTTTACCTATTCTGAGTGTCATGGGTACCCCATAAATATTTATGAAAGGAAGATAAGAATGGAAAGAGAGGAGAAGGAACAAAAGGAGGGAGAAAAGAAATGCTGTTCATTTTCTAAGCTAAGAGAACTGTGCCTGACTTTAGGCTGCGTGGCTCATTCTTGTGACACCCTAGGCTGCTTCTCTGTGCTTCGATTTTCCCAGTAGTAAAGCAGGACTTAGAGCATGGGAAGCGCCTAGGATGTGCAGGACACCTCCTCTCCTCCCCTTCATAATGCTAGCCTACCTTAACACTAGTGTTTCTGCTTCTGGGTTCGTCTGCTGATGGAGCTCTGGTGGAGGGGCTCCGTGACGTTCGAGACCATTGATTTTGCACAACATTGCCCCGAGAGTCTGTGTTTTGTGTTGGCAACTCTTGGGATCCCTGTGAAGGACAGAGGACGGCCCATGGTGTGATACCTTACCTGCTGTTCCTAAGCTGGCACTACTGAACAGCTGTGTCAGGTTACAGCGCCCCCTGGTCTCTATAGACTGTTTTGGAACAAAAGTCCTGTGTTACGCTAGCTGTAGCCCAAGATGAGAAGTAACAAAGTTGGGACCCACCCAGCAAAACATCTGGCAAATCTGAGAAGCAAATCTCATTACTAGTGTTTTGTCATCCACGGCTCCTCTTGTCCAAATCAGAAGAATTGACCGTGCCTCCTTCTGTTTTTCTAATTCTTCCCCTAAGTTTAGCCCTAGTAATCATTGTGGAAGAGACCTTTCTGTCAGTGTAACCAGACTGCAGAGGTGAGGGTAGCTGCTGGTCCTTACCGCAGGCTGCCACAGGGCTAAGGCACCTGCACAGGAGACATACTTTTTAGGAGGAACAGACAGAGGAGACTGGAGGGGCAGGTAGAGAGATTCTAGTCCTCACGTCATCCTTCCCCTCACCCGGCTGCCTGGGGCTCCCTTCCCAAATCAGTAGTGCAATCTCTGCTCACCCCGGTCATGGTGATCTGCTGGCCCTGATGCCACAACAGGCACATGTGAATATAAATACGGATTGTGCGGCAGGGGCTGGGAAGGATTGTTCCCTCAGCTGCACAAAGGCAGCGTCTACACGACGCGTGGCCACGCATGGGGCACCATCTCAGCGAGTGATTCGGATTGACTGCACGCCTCATCTGAAAGATTGTGCAGAAAATGGTCAATGCAACGGCCTGACGCCCCGACCCCCCCAGGTCTGAACAACAACCAGTCTCCTCTCCTGGGCTGAGCAGAGGAGACTGCTGTGGTCTCTGTGTCACAGAATCTCTATGGAGCTGGGGCGTGTGGGCAGGAGGGGAAGGGGCCCACTATTCCTAGCTTTTCCTTAGTCTCCTCATGAAGATACTGGGCTACGTCCCTTTGGCACAGCTGGAGACTGCTGACAGGTCTCCTGGAGCCTCCTTGCCTACTGACCTCTTCCACTGCGCTCTCTGCTCTTTGGTTTTCTCACTGGCAAGACAAAGATGAGCTCACCTGAGAGTTCAGACGAACTCCTGACTTGTCAGAATCCCTTCTTTTCTCCGTTTCGAGACTTTCTTTTGAGTACCTCATCCCGGCCTCATTCTTAATATGGAAACAAAAGATGTTTATTAACTTTTAACGTCAGAGGCATTGAAAACCTTGGGTTTGGGAATTAAAAGGTAAATTAAAACATAGAATTCATCTTTCCCAATGTAAAAAGAATTTGTAAACATTAGGTATTACCTTTCACATGTATAAGATACATATTTTATAAGTGGGGACTATATATTTCTGTATGTTATATTTTAATATAAATTTATGGGCTCATAGTCTTGAGATAAGTAATCACGTGGCAGTGCCATCAGACACGTCTCAGGGCTTGGCATGATTTGGATTTTGATTGGATGGTGCTTACACACAACATTTTTCTTGGCTTCTGTGAATCTTGTTGATTGGTTCTTATGGATTTTTTTTTCATTTGCCATGCAGAATGGAGTATTTTCCAGTTTTTATTAATATATGAATAATTTTAGTTCCAGTGATCTAAGCTTCAGCAATATTAGTGTTATTTTCAGTCTGTTGCCTTAATTTCATAGACATACTGACAGATGTGTCTTCTGTTCCCATCCAAATCCCCACACCATCTATACTGAGAAGGGATTTCTTATTGACTAGGAAGGGAGGCTGAGCTGGAAAGCATTAGGAGATAGGCTTCTTTATGGAAATGTTTACACACAACTGCAGCTTAATTTGACTTGGGGAAAACACTCCTTTGGACTGTTTCATGATAGCTCACTGACTTCAGTTGCATTAACGTTAGTTCGATCTGTTAATGAGGCCCACGTTCTAAAGTAGGTCAAGGTCCCAGACAGTAGTTTCTGTTCACTGTCCATGTTGCATGCCTTACATCAGGAAAAATCACAGCAACATCAGCTGCATGAAAAGTGACTGCACAGAATGGCTAAAGCTAAGTGGTGTGCTTTTTGTACTAATTCTAATATTTTTTTTTACATCTGTTCTCGCACTGCTCCTCCTAGCATTGAGAGCTATCATAATGTCCTATAACTTCTGTTCCAGATTATCTTAAATCTAATGCCATTTTTGTATTCTTTTTATCATTGTCTCATTCCAAAATTCAGGTCATCCTCTGTCTGCAGTCTTAGAGCACAGCCTTGTGAACAGGTTTCTATGATGTCTAATGCTTCCCACCTGTACGCATGTGCACTCTGTTTACTCAAAGCAGTGTTTAGAAAGCATGGTTCTTGCTTTGCCTTCTTCTCATTCGTTTCATTACAGACACAGGAGCCTCCTGGTGTACTCTGCCCCACATCCAACTTGAATGCCTTTTACCTTCCATATGTCTGTATGCGGTACCTCAACCAAATGACCTCTCTTTATTTTCATATTCTTCTTACTTACTTGTAACTTTGGCTTCCATTTAAGGTTCTTTAAAATCCAGCTCAGTGTGTCATGGGGGTAGTCCCCAGAATTGTACCTACTGATGCGTCCTTTGCACATATTTTGAATGATCACTGAATTGCCCTGTGTTTGTTTTCTCTTTCCTACTGTGCATTCTTCAAAAACAGATTGTGTTTTTGCCTCTTACCACTAACATATGAGCATATATGTTCAGTACATGCTGCCTAATTGGATTGGCATTCCATTTGTTTTATCTCCTTTACCTCTACTTCTGTCCTTCCCTTTTTAAAATGACATGCAGCTGTAAGTTAATATTATTTCATTGATGTAGGGCACTCACAGAGGTAAAGAATGGGCTGATAATTATATTTCTTAGGCTCCCTTGGAAGGACCTAGAGCATTTTTTTCACTCACCTTTTTTTTCTGTTTCAGAGATGTTTGACTCATTTCTTTATCTGTTGGACTTCTTTTGATGTTACACAGATTTTCATCTCCCCAGCTCCATTTCCTGTTGTTTCCTTGCTCAGTCTGGCTCTACATTTAGAATGTCAAATTTGTGACATCATATGTGTTTCCATAGTAACAAGCTCTGTGAGTACATGACTATAATTTTTAAATGCCACATATTTGACTATGTGTACTCATAATTATCATGTGTGTCTGCAACGTATCATCTGAACGTTCTTTAATTGATATTATTACCAATTCTTTCTTTTTGACATTTTAAGATTGTTTAAAATTTTAAATACTCGATCTTTTGTAAAGTGAACAAGTCTCACATATTTCATGATACAGATTTATGGGAGAGTGATACATCCCACCTAGCCCTCCCTCTTGCTCATATTCCCTGCCCACAATCCTCCTTCCTTATTTCCTTTGTTTTTTGCTCATCTTTACAATGGCACATTTTCATTTCACCTTGCAATCACAGATTTAACACAACATTAAGTAAAGATATCAACATATAACAAGTAGGGAAAAATGAAAGAAAAAATCAAGGTAAAACTGTCTATTATTTCTCAGAAGTAGGAAAAAAAATGAAAAGCAAAAAGCAAAACCAAAAACAAAAAAGCCCAAATACTATTCCTCAAGAATATCTACAAAGTCTGTAACAATAAGTTTAGGGCAAATATACAGTGTTTGTGTTTTGGGAACTGACTTATTTAACTAGTCATAATGATTTTCAGTTGGACCCATTTAGCTGCAAAAATAAGATTTCATTCATTTTATGACTGAGTAGTATTCCATATTGTATATATACCACATTTTCTTTGCTTGGTGATCTATTGATGGGGTTGATTCTATATCTTAGTTATTGTGAATTGTACTATTATAAACATGGGGTTGCAGGCAACTCTTTCATGTTCTGATTAAGCATTATTCTGACCATCATTTCAATCTTACTTGTGTTGTACAATGTCTGCTAACTTATTTCTGGATTTAGTCATTTATCGTTATTTAGCCTACCAGATGTTGGAGGACTTCTTGCAAATCTTGTAAAATCCCTGCCTGATACGTAGCAAACCCATCAGTGACATCTGGCTGGTAGTAGAATGTTGTCTTTTTTCTCTCTTTTTTAATTTAATTTTTTTCTTTTTAGGTTTTTTCCTTTCTTTAAGAATTTTTGTTTTTAAAGTACATAGTAAAGATCTGGGGAAGTTTTGCACAATTCCTGAACTCCTTGTGGGGTGAATGGTAACAGATGCTATAGACTGAAGCCTTGATTGAGAGGTGTGTATTCACTTCATGCACAGTGCATGTGTTGGTCTCTTTTTTATTGGTCAGTGATGTTGAGTTTTGGTGGTAATCTTGTTAATGGCAAAGCAGGTGTTGGTCAGTCTGGGGGCTACATGCAGGTGATAGTTACTCTTTACTCAGGGTCCAGGATTCTGGCAAGGATCAGTAAGATATGACTCATCAAGATGTTTTCTTAGGAAAGTACATGACTGCGAGAGAGTTGTTACCGGGTCCTTTGGGGCCAGCCGCACTACTCCCTCATCTCCATGAGTTCATTTTGGTGAGATTGATTTGCAAAGAAATCTTAAAGGAGAAAGATTGAGGAATCTTGGGCAACTAGGGCCTGAAAGCTGTCTAGCGTCTACTCAAGGACACCGTGCCATGCTTGATTCAAATCCAGGCATGGCTTTGCATAACGGTGACTTTATTCTAACCATGGAGTTTAGCGCTTTTAGCTTTGGTGTTTGGTGTTTCTTCCACACTGGCCACATCAGTGATGACACTCTCAATGTCTTTGCTAGTAATCAGTGTAGACCATTGCCTGTGCTGTTTCTTGTCTGTTTGCCTCATGTCTAACTCAGCTAAACACACACATGTCTCCCCTGTACACACAGAGTAGCAGCCCGGGACTCTAGAGTACAAGAATGTCCTATGGCTTGCCATTCTGGCTCTATCTTTATGCACACTTTAGGTATAGAAATGTGCTGTGGCAGCCTAGGACTGACGTATATTTATGGCTTCTGTTTGTAGGAGTTGATAATTAAGTTTGAAAACCAGGAGAAGTTTTTGATGTGTTTGATTAAAGTTTTTCAAGTGGCCTTGTAGTCAGCAGTTCATGTGGATTTTGGTTTGATTGTCTGCACTTGTATGCCTGGCAAGATGATTAATCTTCTTAGATCTCAAATTTGCCATCTATAGAGAGGAGAAAATACTGATGTAAACATAAAAGGGTGTTAAGAAATTATAAGGTACTTAACATGGTGTGTGGTAATCATGAGCCATAAATCAATATTATTTAAATTTTGTTCTTTTTGTAATTTTTGCTGTAACTGTATTAGAAAAAAATCTCTTTTTTGTTTTTGTTTTTTGTTCTGTTTTTTGTTTTTGCATTTTTATTTTGAGTTTTATGGTACAATTCTATAGAATCACAACTGCTTACAAAGTACTGTTGTAACAATATGGGGAAAATCAGAGGGAATTTTGGGAGTGGAGAATCTCAGAGAAAATCTTTAAATATCTTCATTGCAGTTATAATCTAGTTGTGGTCACAGAGGTTTTAAAAGTATTTGTTGTTCTTACTTACCTCTAAAACATCAAATATCATTGATGATCCTGCTCGTCTGGTAAACTAAAGGTGACCACAGGAGAAAGAACAGACAGCTGCAAGTAGGAAGACACACTCTGAGACTTTGATTCTGCCAAGCGAAGGAGGAAGATTTCTCAGGTCTGAGGAACAGAGATGGCCTGGAGTCTGATTGGTCCTCCTCCTGCACACAGATCAGCTTTTGTGTCTGTCCCCATCTGGGACTTCTCCATCTAACTGTAAGAAGTCCCTTGCTTACTGAGCTTTTCTGATACCATACGATCTGGGAAAAAGCAGGAGCCTAAGAATCTGTATTTTTTTCTATGGCAAAAATAAAGACTTGCTTGTATGGCTTCTTTCTGTGCATTTCCTATTCTGTTTTCCTTATCGTCTTCCAGTTCTTGACTTTGTTACTGAGGGTGGAAAACTGCACTTTGTGTAGGTAGCATATCTTCTTTTGTCTCACTTACGTTTCTCTGTGTGTTCAGCTTTGAAATCATGATGATAAGTCATTGTGATCATGGATATGGGGAGGCAGTAGGTGATAGTTTCCTGACATCCACGGACTGAGTTCCCAGGCTCTGACCGCAGCCCATTGAGTCTGCCCACTCTGGGCATTTGGAAACTGAACCCATGTGTCAACACCCCCTTGTTTTCTTTCTGGCTTTCACATAAATAATGCTTAAAAATGAAGTTGAGTGAAAAGTAGAGAATTGAGAAAAAAAGAAGACATTTGTGTTCTCATTATACTAACATAGTCATTAATAGAATTATAAATCTTCCAAATTTATTTTGCATTTTGTTTAAGTTTTAACATCTCCTTCTTTGTAAAAATACTATTAGAGTTACATGGCATTCACAACTCATTAAGCTGATTTATCCTACATAGTATTGTGAGAAGCACTTTGCCTGTTGTTATTTTGAGCAATTTTAATTTTAATGAGCTCATAGTATTAGAGTGGGTGTGCTACAATTTGTGTGATCAATTCTCTGTTATTGAATATTTGGGCTATCATGAAGGTTTTGTAATTATAAATGCTTTCCTGAGTATCATCCTTTTACAGCTAATTTTCACTTTCCTGAGTATTAACTATTCCTGCAATGACAACCACATTCACACATGCAGTTGGATGATTTCCAGCTTGGTCCATGCAAGTTCAGCCCTCCAAACCTGATTTCTACTTAATGTTACCACTTTCAGTTATTGATACCTCAGTGACCTATTTTTGAGGTAATTTGTTTGTGTTATCTTTTAAACTTTTGAAAAATTATTTTCCCTAAGGGCAGAAAGAGACAGAGATTGTCCTATCTAATGGCTCAGTTCTTAAAGGTCTAGAATGACTGGAGCAAGGCTGGGACCAGAACCGGTAGCCAGGAGTTCAACACAGCTCTCCTATGTACATGGCATAGTTATACTCGCTCGAGCCTTCACTCCTGCCTCGAATGGTCTGCTTTCTCAGGAGCCAGAAGCCGGAAGCTGAATGTAGCACTGAACCAAGGCGTTCCCTGGGGGACATGGGGACCCTCACCAGAATCTTAACCAGTGAGACCAAATGGATGTCCCTATTATGTGAATTCTAGAATTAAGTTAGACTCTTTCTGTCATGCTCCACTTCAGTCCTACAGCAGATCATCTTTGCTTAACATTTAGAATATATCCAAGTGTTATCACCTGTCACTCTAAATGATATTGCTGTCCTTGACCAAGTTGCCATCAGCTCCTCCAGATATTGAGCCCAAACCAGGTCATTGGCCTCTCTGTGGTGTTTTTTCATCTGCACTGATTTTATCAGTGTCGGAATCCTGGCTGTGATATTATAATAAAATGTTGCAAGATATACTGTCCTGAAGGGAGTTTGAGAAAAGGCTAATGGGATCACTCTATTTTTTTTTTCCACAAGTGTCTTTGAATCTCATTAATTCAAAGATATCTTAAAAGTCAGTAGCTTAGGGCCTGACACGATAGTGTAGTGTTAAAAACCTTACCTTGCATGTGCTGGGATCCCATATGGTCACCGGTTCTTATCCCGGCGGCTCTGCTTCCCATTCAGTTCCCTGCTTGTGGCCTGGGTGGGGGGGTGGAGGGGCAATCGAGGACAGCCCAAAGCCTTGGGACCCTGCACCTGCGTGGGAGACCTGGAAGAACTCCTGGCTCCTGGAATTGGATTGGCTCAGCTCCAGGCATTGCAGCCGCTTGGGGAGTGAACCATCGGATGGAAGATCTTCCTCTCTGTCTCTCCTCCTCTCTGTATATCTGCCTTTCCAATAAAAATAAATAAATCTTTTTAAAAAAAGTTAGTGGCTTGAACAATGTGTACATGCTCTTAAAAGATTATTGGGAGCCCAGCTGCAGGGTTTCTGATTCAATATTTGAGAACAAGACCCACTCTTTTTATCTAACAAGTTT